ACTACAGCATCCAACCATCCCTCTTCATGTCATTACCAGTATGAATCAGTATATGAATCATCACCAATAGCATGTTTCCAGTTCATGCCGAGCGTTCAGGCAACAAATCTCAACATGTGCTCAGGACATAGATCAAGTTTTTTCTTTTCGCCACGTGCCGACTCAGTCCCGACCGCTCACATACAAGTTTTGACACGTGCCGAGTTGCTCCCGGATTAGCCTAAAACAACCAATACAGGATATGCAGTCACTGCTCTCTTCAGTATATAGAAGACAAAATACACTTTCTTATATGCCCTAAATACAAAAACTTAAATCACAAATGACCAACAAATATGTAATACCGTATATACTTAATGGAAATTACATACTGGTACTAAAAAAATTATAATCACGAGTGTTGGTCAATTCACACATTTCTCCTTCCTTCAAGGAATGAAAACAGCTCTTTTGACTTTTTTTAAAAAAAAATTTTTGTATCATTATTTGTTAAGTGTATTTCATCTTTGTTTCACTGTATTGCTAAGGATGCAATAAAGTTATTATTATTATTGGACATTTTGAGATGAAGGTCACAATATGAGATTATGTACAATGTGTGTTTCTTATATAAATACAGTAGGGAATATCTGATTAAAATAAGATTCTGGTTGGCTTATTTTTTTTAATTTAATTTTAATATATTTTATTTCTATTACTAGTAGCTTTGTGGTTAGTGGCTTTCACGGTAAGTGGGTTTCGTCCCAGTAACTGGTACTTTCATCCTTATTGAGAATTAAAGTTTTATGTTTCTTTAACAACTGGCACTATTCTGGGAATACCATCCTAGCAGGAGTTCCAAAATAAGACCCATGCTCTGATAATGCCTCTAGTTTCAAAGACCAATAAACATTACCATTATGATCTTATTGGTGTTGCAAAGGATAGTTGAATATTGTTTATTGAAATTAATAATTCCCATAACCATTTTCCAATATAGATAAATTGTAGTATGTAACAAACTGTATAACTCAGTCTCAACAATGAGATAAAGGAATTTATATATTTACATTACTAATGCATTGCAATACAACTAATTCAAATTGAAAGAAATTACAATATAACATATTCTATCAGTAATACTTCTTAAAGGCGTATTCGTAGTCAGTGTTATTTATGAAAATATTTGTTTATAATTTTATAAACTTGCTTGGCAATACCCCCCCCCCCCAATTAGATATAATGTGTACATATTTTAATAAATAAAGATATACTAACAAAAATGAAATATTAATTATTTCATATTTTATTATATAACCTGCACAACAGTAATCAATATTTTTCTTTGCTACAATGATGTGTAACTTTATACGGAAATCCTGATAAAGTTCACAACTGGCGTTTTAGCAATATTAGGGATTGTCAACTTCCTGTGAATTTGATTACCTAACGTTTTTAGGTTCATGTGCTGCAAGTTACAGAGCACATACCTAAGCAGCCGTCCCCCAGAAAATAATTAAGCCAAGGCAATTTCGATGTCAAAATCGCGAAACTCTCCCCTTTTACGCAAACTGGGAAGTTCGAATTACCAAGCGAAGTACAAGATGACGAAGATGAAATATCCAAGAACCAACACATACCAAAACTTGTATCTCAAAAGTGAATACTGGGGTAGTAATGGTGTATTTTAAGTCTAACCGAACCAGAAGTGGGAATTTGTTAGTACTCTAAATATCCAAACATATTTTTCAGTATAAGGTAGTAATTAATTTTAATATTTGTTTTTACAATTAATTTGCTGCACCTTGAGGCTTTCACAAACAAAACAATTTTTGCGGCAAAATAATTGTAACGTCAAAAAATAATTAAAATAAATAATTATTATTATTATTATTTTACATCTGACCGGACTCCACACAAGGAAGTTCGCTGATTCTGTTCTAAACATTTAGGATTTCAGCATTCCCATGGTGTATCCTTAAAAAGGAAAAGATGTATAATAATAAGGTTATTACGAGGATACATCAAAGTGTGCACTCAGATAGTACACCACACATCAACCCTTGTAGTCAAGCTATACTGAGCAAAGGTCACAGCATAGTATGTATGTTCACAATATAACTACCAGGAAAAGATCACCATTGTCTTTCAAACTTTGCACATATGTTCCTTTTGTGATCCCATTACTTACATTAAAAATTGAAACAGGGAGGTACACCAAACCAAAATAGGAAAAAGAATCTGCGAACTGTGTTCAAATAACAAAGTAGAAGATGAGTACCATTTCATGATTGAATGCCCCTTTTACGAAAAATCAAGGAAAGCACTACTTGAAGAGACTACTAAGCACATTATAAACTTTACGAATATGAGTGACTACAACAAATTTTTAAAATTAATGGGTGATACAAACCTGAATGTACAAATACCAGTTGCCCAATTTATCAAAAATAACACGAACCTTAGACAGCAACATCTTCTGGCAAATTAACATACTTTTTTCCCCCATTTCCATTGATTTACTGTTTATTGCTTCTTTTTTTTTATCATTATTTCATCTATTTTTTTTTTTCAATATTATTACCAACATATATCCAATAATTTGTTGATTTTTTTTTTTTTTAAAAACCATTGTTGTGCTTTAGACAGTAATTTGTATGTTTTATATATGTGTTTTAGCAGTTAGTGTAACCATTTTAATTCCTTCTGAGGAATTTTAAGTGTTTAAATAAACCTACATTGTGAAGTCAAAGGTCAAGGTAACAGGCAATTTAGTGCAAGTTGGCATCACTGTCTAGTTGCATGTGCACTGTAAACCACATATATGACATTATATATGTCTGTTGCCAATTTATATTTATTTTTTGTTAATTCTAGGTTTACTCCAACGAGGAGGATGTTTTGACTTTTGCTGGCAAAATTGACATAAAGAAAGCACTTGCAAAGAATAATTCAATTGAACGAATTAAAAGGTATAAAATTATATATGTATGTAAGGAAATAAACCAGAATCAGTATTATATCTTACAATAAGTTGAATAATCAGGAAATCCAACATTTGCCATGAATGTGATACTTCACAAGCCAAAGAACAATAGGAATCAATTGTAAGTGGATAAGACAAGTTCTCTCAATATTTTTTTACCTTATAAAAAAATGAGGTGATTAATAGTGTTTTCCCTCATCTGCAATGAGAGGAAAGTCAATAGTATGTTTTCATTAGTTCTCATTGCCATTATTGTATTATTATATTGTCAGTGATATGACCCTGGGTAAAGTAGTCAAATGTATGTTCAGATGCAGTACCTATTGATGTGTTATTGACACACCTTGTTTTACATCACACACCAATACAATTTTATTCCATTTCAGGTGCTATCAGAATGATTTGGAGAACATCATCCCATTCCTGATACTGTCCTGTTTCTATATCTTGTTGCAGCCATCACATGCCACTGCACTGATGTTATTCCGTGTGTTCACCGCAGCACGTGTGCTTCATACTATTACGTACCTTCTCTCATTGCAGCCATATCGTGCCCTCTGCTGGGGTGTCAATCTCTCAATCAATCTCTATCTATCAGTCAAAATTCTTCAACAAGGAGTGTTTTAATACTCACCAGGAGCAAGCAGATGTATCCAGTATTAACTTTTTCATAGCAATTAACTCTTGAATTAATAATTAGGTAATAGCAATGTAGCAATAATTAACAATACACAATTGCCAGCACAGAGTAATGTTTCCTTGGTTCACTGAGCTGTGTCAACTGCAAGGTACTTTGTTTTAGTTTTAATTTCATTGACACTTGAAGGTGCATCTCAGGATGAAAAAGAGTTAATAAAATGTTAAAATCAAAACAAGTTTGTTTTTTTTCATGTTATTATTGCGTGAACAAAATCTAGCTGTAATTGTGAATACATACTGAGTATACAAAAGAGTGGTGATTTCATGATATTTTGGAAATTGGTTATCTGGAGATAAGATGAAGTGACAGTTCCCTAAAAAATTACTAGAGATAAAATTTATAAAATTGCCATGGCAACATAGGTAATACCAGAGAATACCAAGGTATCCGTCTATGATGCTTCTGTGAAGACCTACTTTATATTCATGTAAATCAACAATGATCCTAGAGAAGATTGTTATATTTATTTAGGGTTTACTGGACTCTATAAACAAGAATTGCTGACGACATATATTATTAAGTCCCTGACATGTTCCGGTACCCAGCATCTCATTCGGCATTTTTCAGATGAATCATGCTTCTTCAGCTTCTCATTGATTTTCCTTTTAAGACCAATCAAAAGTTCTCAGCCTATAAAAACAGTGTGGTTACAATGTATGTAATTTATATTGGAAACAGAATAACCATACTATCTATATACCATTGAAATTAATAAAATTATAAATTATTATGCTAATTATGGAAATAATATGAACAGATTTTAACCCAAAACTAATCAGGTTTGCACATTGTCCTAGAGCATCTACGTACCAAGTTTCATTGAAATGGAATAATTTAATAGTACTGTAGATATTAGTGTGAAAGTTGAAAATTGGTTAGTTATTGTGCAAAAGCTGAAATGATTATTAGTAGAGATATCAGTGGAAATGCTGAAAATTAACTAATTATGCAAATTAGGTGATTAATATGCACAAATATTTACTCCAAAACAATCAATCTCTGCATAGTCCAAGAGTGTCTATGTACAAAGTTTAATATCAAAAGCTGAAAATTAATTAATTATGTAATTAATATTTACTGATATTACCCCAAAAACTAATCAGGTCTGCGCAGTGTTCTATGACATCTATGTACCAAGGTTCATTGAAATATGATGAGTACTTGAGATATCAGTGGAAAAGTCAAAAATTTACTAATCATTATGCAAATTAGCTAATTAATATGCACGGATTTTTACCTAAAACTAATCCAATCTCCGCATTAGTTCAGAGCATCTATGTACCAAGTTTCATTAAAATCCAATGACTGGTTCTTTAGATATCAATGGAACAGGCATGGATAAGCTAAAAATAAGCTAATTATCATTCAAATTATGTAATTAATATGCATATAGATTTTACCAAAAACTAATCAAATCTGCGCATTGGCCCAGAGCATCTATGTACTAAGTTTCATCGAGATTTGATTAGTGGTTCTTGAGAGAACGGTGGAACAAAAAAAGTGACATGCATACATACATACATACATACATACATACATACATACATACAGACAGGGTAGCTGCAAATACTCCCTTTTGTGCTTCGCACATGGGAGTCAACAAGCAGCTTCTCGGCTGAGATAGCTCCGTTGTTTCAATTAAAGAACTGAAGATATCATTAGAAAATTAACAAATCTGAGATATATGTATAGTATCAAAGCAATCCGACTGCTCAACAAGTCAAAAATATCACTTTTCACCAAAAAGGACAAAATTACTCAAAATTAGAGAATTGAAGGTATCATCATGAAATGAACAAATCTAAGAGAAGTCTGCCCAGGGTACATATACACCAAGTATCAAAGCAATAAGAATTGTAGTTTTCAAAGGGCTAATTATTTTAATTATTTTATTCCTGGTCAACCAAACTTTCAATTAGCGTACCCTCAATTTTGATTAACAATTCAGACAATATTTTGTATTTACCCATAAATTTTATTTCACATTTTCAATCAAACATGTTAACATAAATATTATAAATTTAAAAGTACAAAATGCATGTTTAAATCTGGTCGCCATCTTTCCCTGATACACCCAAAGCTGCAGTTTAAGAACACATGAATATAAAACTTAGATAGTTGCCAGTCGGCCATTTTCATTATTATGTTCAGTGTCTGATCATAGTTTGAAATCGACTAAGGTGAACCCTATTGTTTATCCCAAATTACAGAGTAGTCTACAATGCCCTGGTTATGTCCTGGCAGTCTTACTGAATCAAGACACAAAACCAAAGAATACATCAGTAACCAACCATGAGTGATGTCAATGCCAAGTTTGAATAAACCAGGTATTCCTGGGAAACACTTCATGACATATTAAAAATGATGATTTTTTTTTGTTAAAAAATTGCTGTTAGCCGGTCAATGGTCAACAAAAAAAAAAAAAAAAACATACCGGTATTCCATTATGACATCATGTCTTAGTACTGACTGAACAAAATCTGTCCAAGAAATAAAGAATGAATGAAACCCAAAACACAAATATGACTTCTCTGACAGGCAACTAGAAAAATGAAAATTTGCTACATGTATGTACATGTACTAATATTGTATTCAAAAGAATATTGCACAATTTCTTAGTTACTGGCATAAAAAATTACTACTGGTAGATAGTCCAAATTTACTGATATACAAATCACACTTAAATATCTACAAAAACTCATACATGGAAGTACTATTGATTTGAATAAATTAAACACTGATGTAAAAAGAGCAGAAAGTTTATGTATTTTACTGGTATGTATTGGCAGATTCCAACAATATTAATAATGTATATTTGCATATTTTGTGTATTTTGGGAGTTTTTTAATGCAATGTGAGATTTTTTAGACAAAAACTTACCATTCAGTCATCTTAGGTTTGTTTATGCAACGAATATATGTGCATATACATCTCATGATGTGTAATGTATATGTAGATGGTCTTATACATACATGTACAGAGACACACAGAGATAAAATTATAAGCCTCTATTTTCAAACAGGGATTAAGAAATATCACTAAATATGTGAGGCCCTAATGTTTTGAATATAGAAATATAATACAGAGCATTGGCACTAACTTCTTAATGGATACCTATGAATTGAAAGACAGCAGTGCCCCCAAGTTGCATAAGGCATTGTGCCAACCATGTCCCATTTAGTTGAGTTAAAGTTGTACATATCTACTGTACCAACATTCTGATATTTTTTATCACAACCACCAGTTACGTAGATTTTACCATTGCACACCGCCAGACGGCATGCATAACGACGCGACTTCTGTATTGGAACGATCCTCCCCACGTACTTTGAGGCATTCTCCTTTAGACTATAGCAAATAAAATTACTTCCATGCATTAGAATGTATATCTGTCCATTTAATGCAACTGCTTGAGCACTTTCAGGTTCAGGCATGGTAGCAATAACACTCCAGCTATCTGTAATGGGGTTATAACATTCCAGACTGTTGTAGCGACCTGTCACAGCATAGATTTTACCCTCATAGGTGGTGGCAGCAATGCATCTTGTTCCAAGCATATCAGACTTATTTGTCCAAGTATCTGTGACAGGATCATAGAAATTCACATTAGTACACCAATTGGCACCATCTTGACCGCCTAGAACATAGACTTTACCGTCTAGCCCCACTGTCTGGTGGTTGCGTCGTGTTGTGAACAGACAACTACATAGCACCCACTCCTGTTTGCTTGATTTGAACAACCAAGTCTTGCCATGCTTTGTAAGTATGAAGATATCATCTTTAAGATTACATGCGGATGCAACCTTGTCTCCTTTCTCCATAACAAAAGACGGTAACTCAAACCATTCATCCATACGAGGATCATAACACTGTATTTTAGGCACTAATTCCACACCTTGACAACCTTTGTAATTGTATCCATGAACATTAACCAGAATTTCACTGTATTGCCTTTCTGGCATAGATGACAGTGCTCCTTCTAAAAACTGTGTAATCCTATTTGAGCATTCAAGTGATTCCAAGACCAGTGTACTTGCCATGATCTTCTTTTGCAGGTATGAGCTTGATACATACTCTAATCTGATATGCTTAAACAATTCTTGGAAATCTTCTTTTCTGGAGTTGAGGTCATAGTTCACCCAACGAATAATGCTCTCATAAACTTGTTCTTCTCGCTGCACGCAGAGATCTTTTTCTATCAGTTCAACTACTCGGTCTTTTGTCAGTGTCAGGAACTCTTCCTGTTGGCAGACCTCATTATAGTTCTCCAGTGAGTATGTACCTGCTTTGATACTGAGAGACTGACAGGAGAAAGCATCACTAATTGCTTGTATTCCCAAGCAGTTGGAAGCATCTAACTGGCTGTCCATGTAAGAAATGCAGGTATTCTGAATTGCTAAGATTTGAAACAAACTGGTGGCTGCAAAGAGATCTTCAACATTGTCATCCGAGATAGTGATCTGTCCAGTATATGCATATTTAACCAGTGA